CCCCTGTACAGCCCCACCCCATGTGTGTATGAACCCCTGAGACAGAGGGGAGCCCCCGCTCTGTGTATGTGAGACCCCTGTCCAACCCCCCCAGGGCCTGAGGGGGAACCCCTACCCCCATGGAGCCGGATGGGCTACCCCATCCCTGGCGCGCACACACAGGCACCTCGCTCTGTGTGACGCCCCCTGCGGGTGTGTGTCACGCTCTCTCTGCAGGGTGGACTCCATCATGCTGGTGGAGGACGGGTTCAGCGTGACTAGCGTTGATGCCAGTGACAAGATGCTCAAGTACGCCCTGAAGGAGCGTTGGAACCGGCGGAAGGAAGAGGCCTTTGACAAGTGGGGTAGGCACAGCGCCCTGGGGCGCACGCTGGGGCAGTGTGCCTCGAGTGCTTTGGGGTGGGGAACAGGCGATAAGAGGCCCCAAGTCCTGTCTTTTATCCCCATGCGACACTTACGCCTTTGGTTTCCCCTCGGAAATGAGCAGCTCGGACTCTGAACCCTTCCTGGTTTGTCTCTGGCTGGCCAGGAGCGCGCTTGGGGCTGGACAGGAGAACAGCTTCCTGCTGGCACTGGGGGGTGATGCCTCTGTAGCGGGAGCCCAGAATGCCCTGGACGCCTGCTGCTGCTCATCCTGGCATTGAAATGCCTGACTAGCCTGCTGCCGGCTGTGCCAGGCTTCCCCCGCCCCGAAGGGATCAACGTCCAGGCCCCAGGTGCTGTAGGCTGCATTTCCAATGCAGAACGCTCTCATGGGACCCCGTCTCTCTGGGACCTGTTGGAACATTTCCCTGGCGTAGGATCATCAGCAAGTGTAACATGTTGCGTGCACCTCTTCCCTTGACGTCACTGATATCACACCCTGTTCTCCCCCTCGCACGATGCAGCACTTGCTTCCCCTGGCTGGCTTTGAAATGGGAATAATGCCCCATCCCACCTCCCCAGGGTAGCGAGTGTCTCAGTGCTGCGGCTGTCGCCTTTGGCCATGGCAGTGCCTCTCCGAGCTGAGCTGTTCAGCGGTGTATGGGGGTGGGGGTGGTGCTTTCTGGGCTGCAGTGGAAATGGGTACTGCCCCTCCCCGCCCCGTCTCTGAGGCAGGAGCAGTGGGGATCTGTGTGCAGGAGGGAAGGTCCCCCAGCCCAGGGAAGGCAAGGCCTTTGTTTGTGTGTGTAACCAGCTCTCTTGTGGTGCAGTCATTGAAGAGGCCAACTGGCTCACCCTGGACAAGGACGTGCAGAAGCCGGGAGATGGGTTTGATGCTGTCATCTGCCTGGGAAACTCCTTTGCGCATCTGCCTGATTTCAAAGGTGAGCCTGGTGAACAGAGTCTGCTTCCGGGGACCAGCCCTGCAGCCAGAGCACTGAGGGCCGGGGGCAGGTGCGCATGCAGGGCTCTCATCTCCAAAGCACCAGCCCCCGCAGCTGCCAGGCGAGGCGAGCCCACCGTCCCATTTACTGCTGAGACTTGCTCAAGCCCACGCTGGGATGGCAGCAGGATTCGCTCTCCCAGCCCATGCTCAGGCTGTGTCCAGAATACAACCAAGGTCCCGACTCCCCGTGTGGTGCAGGAATGAGGGACAGAAGAGAAGGTTGCGCGGCTCCACTTAGGAGGGTCCTGGATTCTGGGGCTGCTCTAACTTACCCTGTGCTGCAGCGGCCCTATATGGGCAGTGCGTGCCAGCTGCCCCGTCCTACCCTAGCCCCCCTCCCTGCCCCTAGATAGGCTGTACCTGCTCCAGGGGCCCGCTTTTGCTAGGGTGTTCCTGGATGGCCAGTTTTGGCTGTGCTAGGGCCCGCCTATCTCCAGCCAGGAAATGGGGCTCGCGGGGAGCCGGACTAGCTTAGCTGAGGCATGCAGGGCCCCAGAGGCCCCAACATGTCCACTGCTCTCTGTTGGCACCACTGCAGGATAGAGCGAGATGCCGGGGGGCCATGGGCAGCTGGAGTGGGGGATGGGCTCTGGGCATTGCAGAGGGGTAGCTGAATCCCGCCCCTTCGCCTAGGTGATCAGAGCGACCATAAACTGGCCCTTAAGAACATTGCGAGCATGGTGCGACCGGGCGGCCTCATGGTCATCGACCATCGCAACTACGACTACATCCTGGCCACGGGCTGCGCCCCACCTGGCAAGAACATCTACTACAAGGTCACTGCCCTCCAGGCCTGCCCGGTGGAGGGGGAGGTCACCAGGGGTCGGGGGGCTGCTCTGTTTGTTGTGCCCCATTGAGGGATAGGGACAGGGCTGACTGGCACTCAGTGATGTGGGGATAGAGGTTTCCCGCCACCCCCCACGTCCTCCACGGCCATACCACTCCTCACAGCTGGCCTGGTGGGAGGGAGCAGCTCTGGCTAATGGCGGACAGGGCGTAGGGAGGTAATGGGGGAGGCTGAACCGACTGGAGTCACAGGTGAGGACAGAGCGGAGGAGAGGCTGCAGGGCTGAGGCTACGGAAGGAGAGTGCAGCAGCTCCGTGTGTGCCCTCGGTTGTAGCTGCGGCCGGAGGCGTCGCTGGGTGCTGTGCAGACCACACCAGGAGAGCAGGCTGCATTGGGGGTTGGGATTGGAGCATCACCACAGCTCCAGGCGGGCAGGCTCCATCCCAGAACGAGTATACTGGGGTGACATTAGCCTCCCCCTGCTGACCTGGGGCAACTCCCCGCGTTGTGCCTGGGGGCTGACACATGGGAGGGGAGGAGGTAACAGGAAGCTTTTGGCCTTTTGCCCCTCCCAGAGTGACCTGACGAAGGACATCACCACATCCGTGCTGCTAGTGAACAACAAAGCCCATATGGTGACCCTGGACTACACGCTGCAGGTCCCGGCCCAGGAGCCAGAGGAAGCCCCGGAACTGAGGTATGTGCTGGCTGGCACAGTCACCTGTGGCGTGAGGAGGGGTGGGCCCCGATCCACGTGCACATGAGGTGTCTGGGCACAGGGCGCACGCGGCAGGGGCATGTCCTGCTTTGCCCAGCTGGGGACTCCTGCAGGCTGAAGAGAAGCACCAGCCCTGGGTGGCGTAGCTGCCTCCCTGCTAGCCCAACTCCCCCGTGCACGGCCGGCTCACGCTGGCACATCCCAGAGCCCCCCGCAGGCGCCTGCCCCAGCCCCTCAGTGCGGTCTCTCTTCTCCTGCGTTCCAGCAAATTCCGTCTCTCCTACTACCCTCACTGCCTGGAGGCCTTCACGGAGCTGCTGAAGAATGCCTTCCAGGGGCAGTGCCAGCACAGCGTCCTGGGCGACTTCCAGCCCTACCAGCCCGGCCAGGCCTACACCCCCTGCTACTTCATCCACGTGGTGAAGAAGACAGGCTGAGGCGCTGCTTGGGGAATCCTGGCGTTGCTGGTCGGACTGCGCCGCCGGCCGTGTGGCAACGGACGAGGAGATGGAACTCTTCGCCATCTTCCTGTCTGAACGGCTCTGCTTGGGCGGCTGGTGGGACTCTCCACCAGGCAGCCGCTTCAGGGGAAGGCCCCAGGAATTGCCTGTGAGGCCTGAGCAAGGCTCTGTGGCTGGCTAGAGCGGCCCGTACTGCTGCTGCTTCTTGTCCCTCTCTGCTTCTCGCATTTGTCAGGCTGCACCGGGGTGGGGGGGCGTTTGTCCGAATCTCAGGGCTGTTGAGGGCTCTCCAGAAGGCTGTTGCGAGGAAAGTGAAACAACGCTCATGGAGAGTTACCAGTGCACGTGGTCCTGGTGTCTGTTCTGCGGCTGGGCTGGGGATGAAAAGCTCAGAGGAGGCGGGAGTTGGTGTGAGCAGGATTCTGCTGGTGCCGGTCATGGGGATCTCTCCGTAGTGCCACTGTGCCCTTGGTATGGAGGAGTGACAGGGCCAGCTCACGCCTGGAGTCCGGAGCAGAGCCTGTGTCCAACTGCGTGCTCCAGCCGCTGCACCATCTGCATGGCCATTGCTGCAGATTGGGGGGGTTGGGGGGGGGGGGGAGACCCCCCCCCCCACAGAGCTGCCACTCTGTGCCTGTGCCCCCCCTGTGCAGGGCGTCCTGGAGATGTAGCTCCAGGCCCAAGTGCTGTGGGAGCAGGGTACCTGTGGGCCACCCAGCTCTATGCACCCACTCACTGAGGGCCCGTTCCCTCCACATGCAGCCCAGAGGGCTGGGAGATGCTGGTTGCTGTGGGTAAGGCCCAGGCCATTGGCTCGGGCACTAGTAGCAGCAGCAGCTGGAGAACATACCCCCTGGCTCCAGTGTCAGGGGCCCGAGCGAGGGGTGTGGAGTGCTGCCCGGGAAGGGGAGGCTGCAGTTGGTGGCCGGCTGCGCGGTAGCAGCAGCGTGAGCCTGAACCGGGTGCTCGCTGAGGGCGAGGAAAGGAGTCGAGATAGAAAAGCAGGTGCCACACGACTCACAGCAGGGAAAACCACAGCCAGCTGGTGCGGCCACTCAAGGCTGTGAGGAGGGGGCGGGGGAGTCTAGTCTTGCCTGCCAACAGCTAGTACCCGCCTCCCTCCCAGCGCAGGGCACGACCTGGCTGGGGAAGGTGGCTGCTGTCCAGCCCCAGGCTTCTGGCCCTGAGTTAGCTTCCTTTGGGTGTTGGCAGCAGTCAGCCCGGTGAGCTCCTAGCAGCACGTCCATGGGGGTGGGGAGAGCGACGAAGGGGTAGACCGGCCAGGAGGGGGGCACTTGGCAGGGTGGGCTGGGTCAGCCCCAGGGCACTGCTGCTGAAAAGGGCAGCGAGGAGGTGCTCCGGGGGGCTGGTAAGGAGAGGTGGCTGCTAGAGGCAGGTATCACTGGCCCCAGAGGGGAGATGGCAGCCTAACCCCTAAAGGGAGCGGGGCAGCGTCAGGGCCTGTGCTCTGAAGGGCTGTACCCAGCGCTGGTGCCCATCCGGCTGCCTCAGGCCAGATCCCGGGCAGCATCCTACCCTGCCCCTCCTCTCCCCACCCATCAGGGTGCCCATTGCCGGGCTGCTCTCCCAGCAGCAGGGGAGGGTAAGTGGCCATGGGTGGCTGGAAAAAGGCATCGCTGCTGCTACAGCAGGCTCAGTCCCTCCCCGGGGTGCCAGGATCTCCAAGGGGGAGACTGCCAGGCCTGGCCACAGGCTGATCGGCTTCATGCTAATAGAATTGCTGCTAAATGTTGGCACCGCTGAGGATGGGCTGCTGAGATTCCCCTGGGAGGGGAAGCTGGGGCCAGACACTGAGAGAGAAAAGCTGAAGCCAATGTCACTGCACACGTCTTACTGCACCACGGTGTCCTTGTCCTCAAAGAGCCAGCCACACTACGGCCCAGCCCTGCTGGGCACCGCTGCCTGTGCATAGACCCACACTCCCTGCCCGGCTCTGCTCTGCCCGTGCAAGCCCCTCCGCAGACGCTGGTACGTGGGTACAATGACACTGAGCAGGGCTTGGCCAGAGTGCAGTCTGCTTCTTGCAACCCACGTGCGTGGTGAGTCAACACGCCCGTGTGTGCTCAGAGCGTAACGCCCTCTCGCAGCTCTCTGTGAACGCCTGACCCCAGCTGAAGCCAGAAGCTGCAGAGGGGGCAATAAATGCCCACACACAGCTGAGAACTAGACCAGGAACTCCCCCTTTATTTAGAAAGCCCGTGTACAGTATTTACAGCCAGTGCAGTGTATGCCCCTGCCCACTGCCTGTGCAGCCAGCAGTGTCCTCACACAAGGCAGGTGCTCCGTGCCGCTGCCCTGTGTAGTGCCCAGGCCTGTGTGCTGGGAGCTGGCCAGGGGGGTTGAGAAACCCTGCAAAAACATCTCAGGGGACCCACGCTTCTTGGGAAGCTGCTCGGGAACCCACGCTTCCTCCCTGCCGCTCTGGCTCCCCCTCCTGTCTTGTTCGTGGCTGCCTGAGTGATCGGAAGCACCATCCCTGCCTGTAGTGCATGTGCCAGCAGGGAAAGCAGCAGGGGACCCTCCCACCTACCGGTGACTAAAGCTCCACAAGGAAGTTCTCTCTCATTCGGGATGAGATTCCCCTCCATGCCGAGGGCCAGCACGAGACCACCCGTCAGTGGTGCCAGGTTTTATGCTGGCCCTGTAACAGGGGAGAGGAGGTGTGAGTGTGAATCCCCCTCCCGCTGATCCTGAGCAGAAGGCGTCAGCTAATTCCCTCACATCCCAGGGAGGCTGTGGGAGAGGGGAGGATTTTTCACTCCTGGGAGACAATCCACCCCCGAGCTCAGGATCTTTGCCTACGCCAGGGGGAAGGCACGGGGTCATGGGACAATCCATGACTAGTGCAGGGGCTCACAGGGGCTTTGGTCGCACTCCTTTCCCTTGAGATCCACAACTCAGCTCAAAGCCCCTTCCTCACACCCCAGATTACAGGGCGGGATGATGGCTGTGGGGGTAAGGGCCAGGCTGAGAGGTTGGAGGAGGGGGACTGGGACAGAGGAGGAGCAGCATGAACCCCAGCTGTGCTGCCGACAGCCTCAGATCCATGGCTAAATGTGCACCACGTCCAGGGTTGGCCAGGAGTCAGCAGGTGAGGACGCCTCCATCTCTCCACTTCACCAGCCCACACGCCTGTCCCGAATCCTCTTGGCCTTCTCCGTGTTAGGGCTGTGCGTGCTCCTTCCCTTCCCTTCTCACTGCAGGCTAGCAGGCAGCAAACTTCCGCTGGATCACTCTGTATGTGAGCAGCTCCTGCTCCGAAACCGACGGCTGCAGCCTTGTGGCAGCTTGTCCAAAATCCTCCATGGTCAGAACTAGAGCGGAACTCTCCGTGTCCAGCCCTGGGGAAAGAGTCACACAGGCACCTGAATGCAGACGGCACAGGGAACTGGTCTTCCCCACCCCAGCCCAGGAATCTGCTCCCAGCCAGGCAAGACCTGACAGCCCCCACTCGAGACTCTGCACAAGTTGTTAAAACAGCCACGTGAGGCTCTCACTTCACCCTGCCCCACCCCCTGCTGCCTGCCCACCTGCCTCCAGCCCCCTCCGGGCCTTCCTCTGACATTCTCTCACATTCAGAATCATGGCTTAACAAAAGCTGCCCAAGCCTAGGCAAATAAGAAACTGCCTTGTGGGAAGGCAGATGCGTGAACTCAATTCGGGCGGAATGGCTGGGCCTGGAGAACAGCTCCCCGCCAGCTCCCCAGAGGGCGAAGGGCACCCTGCCGCATCTAGCAGTGGAGAATGTTCTTTAGCCCCATATTCTGGAATCCTGTGATTACGGGCGACTATCAGCTCTCGGTTTTGTAATGAAATTTCTAACCATCGTGGTTACGAAGAAAAGCTTGAAACTGTGGCCCGGGTGCCACCTAAGAGCTCCGAAATCAGAAACGAAAGAGAACCCACAGTCTATTCTCTTCTTAAATCCCAGGACTTTGGGGGGCCTGCCTGGTGACTGTGGGCTGGCAAACCTCTGAACCCCGTCTGCCTCGTGCACATGGGAACTGTCTGCCTGCCAGTGACCAGAGGGGATAGCTCGTGCCTTTCTCCCCAGCCAATCCTTTCCACTTTAACCTTCCACAGAGAGAAGCTGCAGAGCAGCTGATGAGAAGAATAAAGAGGGGTGACGACAGAGAGCAGAGGAGACCTCCTTGCTCCAGCAGCAAGCGTGCCTGCAGACATTTCGGGGTTACATGGGGGGCTGTAGTCCCTGGGCCAAGCTGCGCGTACTCGGTGCTCACATCTCCCCACCAGCCCTTGGTCACCTTTGGGCCGTGAGGCACCCTGCTGGGATCAGACTGAACAAGCCCTGGTGGGACTGATCTCAGAGCCTGGTGCCAAGCCCATCACTATGCAGCTGCCTTGTGCCGAGAGCCAGGGAACAAACAACCCAGGGGGAAGTGGCTGGCCGCCAGGATGGCGGAGCAGAGTCCAGTTCAAGCCCATTTATATAATGTTTGTTTACCTAGCTTAAGGCACAGGCACAAGAGAGAAAAGGTTGCAACGCCACTTGGTGACCAAACACAGCCATTGACAAGGCCCCTTTCAGTCGCTGTCACGACCGTGGCTTCGGCCGGGCAGGAAGGCTGGTTCCCAGGGCTCTCCCTGCTGGCTGACATGCGGCTCAGTCGTCCCTGGACAAAGCATTTTTTCAATCTGACTCTCGGTTTATTTTGCCTCGCTCGGCCCCTTTTTAATACCGCGAAATTAGACAGCATGCTGAGGAGCCAAACCCGGAGAGGGAAGCCAGGATCACGACCCTATTCTACAGCTGGGGAACTCGGTACAGAGACATACCCATGCCCATCCCGCAGGCTGACCCATGCAGACGGACCCCACTGTGCGGAGCCTCAGAGAGCCCCGTGACGGAGCTAGGATTTGGACAGTGGGGTTCCTAGCTCCTAGGCCACTGCTCTAACTAATGGACAATGCTGCCTCTCCATTGCTTCCATCTGCCTGTGTGTGCAAGTCTCCCAGTTTGTGAATGTCCCCAAAACGCCCAGATCACTGGTGAACAAGACCCGACCTAGCCCGGATCCCCATGGTAACCCCCAGAGGAGCCTCCTCCCGACTTGGCTTGGCCACTTGGCGTTCCCCTTTGTCCCAACCCCCAACCGAGTCAAGTCCAAGCCCAGTGTAAACCGATAAGGGGAGATTTCACAAGACACTGTATCAAATGCTTCACTAAAACCCAAAACATAGTTCGCTGCCCTTAAACCCTATCCGGGGAAGCCCCCGTGTCTGCCGGGAGTGATTTGTTCTGCATCACTCCCCTCCCAATGGCTGGGGGTCCAGCTAGTCTCTAGAGATTTTAACCTCCGCCCAGCGCACAAGAGGAAGGGGCTGGGCTCCTACCTTCCTCAATCCAATCCACCTTCCGTTTGACCGCACACAGCATGGCGTCTGCGCAGAGCGCGTACAGATCTGCTCCCGTCAGCTGTGCAGGGCACTGATCCAGGACACTGTTGAGACGCACTGAAGGGTCCAGTTTGAACCTGCCAGGAGGGGAAACGCCCAGCAGTTAGAGCCACAGACAGCTGGAGACTGAATCCAGCCAGAGGGCTGTGGGCAGGAGGACTCAGATCCCCAGGTCAGCTCCTCCCTGTGCAGCCCCCCCCGGGCTCTGCACTAGGTTCTCCATAATCACAGGCTCCACCACTTGATTAACCTGCTTGTTCATTTCCCTCCTACAAGAACCCGGCTGGCCTGCGTCACAAGTGGAGTCTCACTCCCGCAGGGCAGAGTCAAAGGCAATTCAGACCTGTCAATCAGGGAAGACCAGGCGTCTGCAGGTCTGGCTCCTGGCTGCAGACTCCTCCCAGAGGAGAACTTCCATAACTATCTACATCAAAGTGGTCTCAATATCAAAAATTCCTGTGCAAACCCCACACCCTAGAGGTTCGGTCTCCCCTAACAGGAAAGGCTCTGGCAGACGGGGCCGGCCACATGGCCAGACAGGAGATCGGACGACACAGATTTCAGCAATGCACATGTTCGTTTCTCCAACCAGTAAATGCCTGGCCTGAGCAGAAAGAAACAGCAGTGATCGTCCGCAAGCCAGATGGGGAAACTAAAACAGCGGGGTAAAACCCTGCCAGATCACAACGGGACCTCTGGCACCACAACCTCCATAGTGCAGGGCAATGGGGAATCGGTCGCTCAGGCCAGCTCCTCAGCTAGTGTCAAGCGACACTGACTTCAACAAAGCAGCGCATACCTCCCCTGCTGAGGATCTGGCCCCTGGGTGTGCAGACGCAGCCCTGTTACAGCTCTCCGCGTCTCTTTGGCAGAGGCCAGGCCTCTTGCAGCCCAGGAGGGGGCTGTGGGTGTGAAGGGCGAGCCCGGAGCTGAAGAGGTGGTGTGAGCTCATCTAGGCCTGGATGGAGCCCGGTACAGCTCTGCTCCTGCCCCCAGCAGCAGGGCTTTCCTGCACAGGTCCCTCCTTCTCTCCTGTATGCTCCAGCTCCAAGCTAGGGGGCAGGCCACAGAGCTCTGGGCACCATAACTGGCACCTCTGAACTGCCTTCAACTCTGCCAGCCATCCCCCACCCCCTCACCGCGCTTCGCCACCCAGCTGTGCTGCGCATGCACAGCGAGGTAGAGAAGCGGCTTGGTTGGTGCTAGGCAGCTGGGCAAACACTCACTTCCTGGTGATGGCGCTCAGCACTCGCAGCTGAGACTCACGGTCCTCATTCATGCCGACATAGACCAGCTTGTCAAACCTGGCAGTGGAGGGAAAGAGCCAGTCAAGGACAGATCAAGAAAAACCTGCTTCAACAGCCAAGCCACGTGTTCCCAGCGTCAGCCCAACCCCCACCACCACCACCAGGGCAGTCAGCGGCTCCCTGGCACCCATGTTACCAGGCTCCACTCGCACGCTGAGCCCAGGGACTGGGGGAACAGAGGTGGCCTCACGTCACCCGATTCTCAGCCTGTCCCACCCCAGTGTAAATCAGAGGAGCATGAGGGCTGCTCTAGCTTATGCTCTGGTTGCAATGGCCCCCACGGGCTGATGGCCAGCCCGGGCAGCCAGAATCCACGTTTCAGCCCCGCCTTGCCCCTCCTCCAGCTTGTGCCCTGCGAGAGGCGCTGAGCGGGAGGCCAGCACAGACCCTTTGCAGGAGCTCTGCGGAGCCCCGTACACCAGGGCTAATGCCCAGGGCTGTTTCTGCTCCCAGTGCACTGCCAGACTGCAATAAAGAGGCTGGAGGGCCCCATGGTCGCCACTGTGGTAGCCTTCAAAGGCCGCGATCAGCACCGGGGCTGTGTCGTGCTGGGTCCTGCATACAAACATAGGCAGAGATGGGCCCAGCCCAGAACAGCCTGCAGTGTAAAAGGGACAAGTGAACGTACCATACCACAGGGGGGAAAAGGGCTGAGGTGGGCACAGTGATAAGGTAACATGGTGACGCAGGCTGCACTGGGCACAACCTGATCCCTTTGAAGCCCCCTCTCCCGACAGCCATGGGCCCCGTGGGCCCAGAGGCCGAGGCATCGC